GACAGACAAGTTTGTCCTGCTGTTGGAGACCTCTCGTATCCCCCCCACCTGGGTCCCTGTGGCTGACTGTTCCTCTGTCTGGCTTCCTGTCTGTTCTGTTTCTGGGGATACAAAAGTCAATAAAACAGAAATGCCTGTCTTCATTGACTTATTTTTGAGTAAGGAGTGAAGTTACCATACTGATTTTAAAAGTAGTATATCAGGGTAATCAGAAGGAAAAGATTCTATGCACAAAAAACACTTTATATATAGCTCACCTTTTAATTAATTTGAAGGGAAAGTAGAGGTGTTCGGTAACATGATTCAAATTTGTGAGGTATAGTAGAGTTTTAGGAATTTGTCTGTGGGACTTTTATAAAGCATGATTTCTGGCTTTTAAAAGTTTAAAATTGTAATCAAATGTGAGATACTAAGCTTAAAAATTGATTTAAACTGGGATGGGGTCTAAACTGTTGAAAGTCTGTAAAGAAATGAAGAAACATGCTGAGCAGTAGACCATGCATTGGGCAGCTGGAGTCTTTGATGTGAACCTTCTCTCGTTCATACATATGAGTGATTTTAATTCGCAGATCAATTTTATCTTTATTATTTTTTTTGTAAAGTGTTCCTATAAATGTTTGTTCTTTTTAATTTTCTAGCAAACTCCATATTTGTTTATACAGCAAAGAAAGCCTTCATTTCCTTTTCATGATTACCAGAAATTCTAAGATAGTGGCTTCATAGCTGATACGGTATCTGTAACATACTGTTTTATTTTTGCAGAGTGATCTTTGGTCTTGTGGCATTACAGCTATTGAGATGGCAGAAGGTGCTCCCCGTAAGTAACTTTCTTTACTTTTTAGCCCACTTGTTTTCTATAACTTAAACGTATTTTCAAGGCTTAAAACAAAACAGCTTATGGATAAAGCCATTCCTGGTAGGACATTTTGATGAGGGAATCATAAATATATCTAGGTTTTAGATATAAAAGGAAGTCTTGGAATCTGCTATACCTTTTAGAGATCTCCCTGAGATCCATAGGCTATATTTTCTTTTATTTAAGTTCTACTGAGAGGTGTCACCTGAAATTATGCTGGGTTCATATAATAGCCAATAGATTTTCTTTGTATCTTTTAAATTGAATATCTTATGAAACTGGTTCTAACCCATGATATTTTAGTACTGTTAATGTTTTTGCTTGACAAATTAAGGCATAACTTTTTATGTGTAGAATAATTTTTTTCTATTACCTATGAAAATTTTCTGCCTTTCGTAAGAGTATTTGATTCTCCCTCGGGTTAAATCATGTTGGATCTTCATAAAATTAATTTTGAATCAGAGACGGGCATATTTGCAGAGAACAAAATACAAAGTAGCATTTTCTTCTGGTTCCCCTAATAAAAGGTATACACAAAGAATGCTTAACTCTTGTTACATATTTGATGCTGAATAAATACTTGTTGAATGAATGAAAATGTCTTATCGACAGCTAAAAATTATTTTAATATAGAAATGGATATCTGCTTTGAAAACCTCATATCCCCTCCATGTTTCCCTCTAAGTTACTGAGACGGGGAAGTATTGCCTGATCCTTTGTCTCAGTTTTCTTTCATATTAGGACTAGCATTGTCTTTTTTGCCCATTTCCCAGCTGCCTTATAAGATTTCCTTGAAGGTAAATAAACACATGAAAATGCATATTACCTATTTTGATATATTAACGTGAAACATGTGCACCTCAAGGGCCTTTATTGGGGCAAGTGATAGAAGTACAAACAGTAATTGCACAGACTTAAGCAGTTCAGCTTTAGACTCACGTTTTTTGCTCTTCCATACTAATAATAGATGCAGCACTCAATAATGTTTTTAGAGGGCTTAATCTATGTTTATTCTGTTATTCATGTTAAAGCCTTTTCATACATTATCTCATTTAATCATTACAACAACCCTATGAAAATACAATTATTTTAATTGCATTTTTTTAGATGCTTTAAAAGCTTAAGGTGTTAATTTCTTTAAGACTTTTTGAATATTTATCTTTAATTTATGAAAACTTCCCAGTTTCTCTTTGAAATTGCATATTCTTGTTGCTCTTGTTCTCTTTATATTTTGCTGTTTTTTTTTTTTTTTTTAAGGAGAATTCATTGGGGTTCATGACTAGTTCTAGACTTGTTGACGTAAAGCATATCAATTGGATGGTGGGACAGAGCATTTGATGTTATGAGTGAGCCATAGACATCAAGAACAAGTAAAATAATTGTCATACTTACACAACCTTATCCTCTCCCCAGCTCTCTGTGACATGCATCCAATGAGAGCGCTGTTTCTCATTCCCAGGAACCCTCCTCCCCGGCTGAAGTCAAAAAAATGGTAAGCTATATATGTTATTTTTGTTTTTGTTCTTTTCCTTTCCATTGTTTCTTTTTTAGGTTTATATTCCTCTGACACAAAATTCTGGCCATTCTGATTTCCAAGAACCTGTGCAAAGAGTACGTTAAATTAAAAAAAAATTTATTATTATTATTTTTTTGGTCCCTTGATAAAAAACACCAAATAATAAGTGTGCTTACTTTTTTGTTTTTCTTGATAAATCGTCTGAATTACAAAATGGTGACAAAGTGCCATATGAAACATCAAGTTTTATTTTAATATATAAACATGTATTTTAAAATTATTATTGTGATTTGGGTGGAGGTTTGCAGAGCAAATCAGTTTTCCATTCAACATTTCATACACATTTTATTTCACACCATCGATTGCAGTTCTCACAGTGTAACAACACTCATCCCACTTCCTCCCTGTGTTTCCTGTTTCCATCCGTCCTTTCCTATCCCTTCTTGTCTTCTGAACTTTACTTCTAGGCATATATTGTCTTTTTGATCTCAAATGGTTGATTTTTCTAAGGAGGATGTACCTTCCTGGTGTTATTGTTCACTTTATAAACCTGTCTGTTGTTTGGCTGAAAGTTGAGCCAAAGGGGTGGGTTCAGTTCCAAGCCTGAAGGGTGATTATGGTATAAACACACTTTTAAGTGTGCTATGTTTGTAGACATCTTTATGTTGAAGGCACAAAGCTGTATTGACTTGTAATTCCTCATGTGAAATTGGATTTTAAAATTAATGGAGGTGTATTTATTGTAATTACTGTAGTTTTTGCGCAGTTGAAGTTAGGTATATCCTTTTTTTCTTTCCAGAAGAATACATTTAAAGAATTGTCCTCTGTATTTGGGCTGCCACTTTTCCGTCTACAGCAGCTCCCATACATTTGCCTAACAAATAGCTGTGGAGGAAGTTGAAAACCTTCACTAATGAAAACCTTGAGAATTGTAGTATTGTTGGGAAATACTGGTTTGGGTTAGTTGCTGCAGAAATATTGGTGGAAAGGAAAAGAGCCTTTTTTTTTTTTCCTCCAATCTGGGAATATTGCCCACTTATTGCCTCTTGTCATTTTTTCTAAATTCTTTCCTTTTAGCTCTTGGGCTTGTGGGCCCTATCTTCTTCCTTTTACCATTTCTGTCTCTTTTTCTGGGCTCATCTTGTTCTTACCTACTTTTTGTTTTTGCCTCTTTCTGAAACACTTCTTACTAGTTTTCCAATTAATGATGTCTTCTCTTATTTAAGTTCTTGCCTCTTAACTCTGAAATATGCAGAAGATCTCAATCTTAACCTTTCTATTCTGGGCTTTATCTTTCAGCTGTTTTCTTTTTTCTTCTTAGCTGCTCATGTTCTGGTGAATCTACACTTTTCTTTTCCTATCTGTGGGTGTACCCATGCACACAAACTTTTTTTTTTTTTTTAATTTTAAGGCCCTGTTTTACGTTGAACGCTACATGTACATTTAGTTTCACTCCCCATTTACCATGTCCAACCCTAACCCAGTCTCCTCCCCTTCCCACCTAGTAATCCTCCCCCTGTGCCCCTCATATCTATGCACTCCTGTTTGTCCTGCATCTCCTCAATTTGAGTGTTGGTCCTCTGGGGTCTTGTGGTCTATTGCTCTAGGGGATGTATTACCATAGATAGAGTATGTGGGTGTGTCATCCTGGGTTGAGTGGTCTGCATGTACATGTTGTTAACTGTTGGGCTGAGAGCCTGCCCCTGGGGGTGAGTTTTTTTCCAGGCACAGAATGTATTCCAGGGCCATAGTATTGGAGGTCTCATCAGATTTCATCTGACCAATAATTCTGGTCATTCAGTTTTTGAATTATGTTCCACGTTTTCCCTCCCACTCTATCCAGGATCTCCAGATCTGATCCTTTCCTGAGTGGTTGGAATTGGTAGCTGGGCACCATCTAGTTCTTCTGGTCTCGAGGGCCATTGTGTCCTATGGCTGATTGCTTCCAAATATGCTTTTTTTGTGTGTGTGTTCTTCTTCGCTTCTGATGCTAGGAGACCATTAGCTGTATCTTAGATGGCCACTTGAAGCTTTTAAGACCCCAGTCGCTACTCACCAATGTAGGATGTGGAGCAAGGCTTTTATGTATTTTGTTGTGCCATTTGAGTCTGGTGTCCCCCAGTACTATGGTCCTGAGACCGCAGATGTATTGGATTTCCCTCCCATAGTGTTTGGTTGTCTGTGAGGGATTACTCTGTGTCTGTCTTCTATTGTTTCTGTAAGGAATGCAGGTATTTTGTATCACTGGTGTCTGTACAAGATTAGCCTCAGCTGAATCTATCCTTGGTCTAGAGTATACTCCTGTTCACTGAGCCCCATCTGATCCTCTCAGATGTTTATGTATTTATCTGTAGCCTGGTGTTTGATGTTAATGGCAATGCAGTATTGTGGACACATTGGTTGGTATTAGCATCTGTTGTCTATCTCTTATGTGCACAGTTCGGTGTCCTCCCATTTCCTAATGTTATCATGATGGTCATATATCTTTTCCATATATCCCTCCCCCTACCCACGTCAGCATGTGGGCCCTAACTAGCCTGAAATTAATCCCTCCCCTTCCTTCCCCATCCTGGTGACCTACTAAGTGAGTTCCCTTTCCCAAGCAAATCCTTCTTTGTCTTTTTACAGTGATGGGCTCATACAGTACTTGTCTTTCTGCGATTGACTTATTTCACTCAGCATAATGCCCTCCAGGTTCATCCACGTTGTGAGATGATTCGTGTATCCCTCATTGTTCTTCATTGTAGGATAGTATTCCATCGTGTGCATATACCATAATTTGGTTATCCACTCATCCATTGATGGGCATTTAGGTTGTTTCCATCTCTTTGCTATGGTGAATTGTGCTGCAGTGAACATAGGTGTACATATGTCTATTTGTGTGCTATCTCTCACCTCCTTAGGATATATTCCTAGTAATGGAATTGCTGGGTCAAATGGTGTTTCTATTTTCAGTTTTTTAAGGAAACGGCATACGGTTTGCCACAATGGTTATACCATTTTACAATCCCACCAGCAGTGTACAAGAGTTCCAATCTCTCCGCAACCTCTGTAGCATTTGTTATTTTCTGACCTGTTGAACTTTGCTATTATTACTGAGGTGAGATGATAGCTCATTGTTGTTTTGATTCGCATTTCTCTAATGATTAATGATCGTGAGCAATTTATCATGTGTTTGTTGGCTGCCTGTATATCTTCTCCGGTGAAGTGTCTGTTCAAATGTTTGGCCCATTTGTGAATCGGCTTATGTGTCTTTTAGGTGTTGAAGTGTTGAAGTTTTCTAGAGGTTTTGGAGATAAGTCTTTTATCAGATATGTCATAGGCAAATATTTTCTCCCAATCTGTAAGTTCTCTTTTTACCCTTTTAACAAAGTCTTTTGATGTGCATTAGAATTTAATTTTTAAAAGGTCTTAGTCATCTAGCTTCTCTTCTGTCTCCTACAAATTCTGGGTTATGCTTGACAGTCTATTTATGCCATAAATTAGGGCTCCCAGATTTGCCCCTACTTTATCTTTGATGAATTTTATAGTTTGGAGTTTTACATTTAAGTCTTTGATGCAGCTTGAGTTTGCTTTTGTGTATGGTCTGAGGTATGGGTCTTGTTTCATTTTTCTGCAGGTATATATCCAGTTTTGCCAGCACCATTTGTTGAAGAAGCTGTCTCTCCCCTATTTTAATGAGTTTTGGACCTTTGTCAAAGATCAGTTGTCTATAGATGGATGGGTCTATATCTGGACTTTAAATTCTGTTCCATTGGTCAATCTGTCTATCATTGTACCAATACGAAGTTGTTTTGACTACCGTGGCTATATCGTAGTTCTTAAGATCTGGGCGCGTGAGACCTCCCACTTTGTTTTTCTACTTGAGAAGTGTTCTGCTTATCCGAGGTCTCTTTCCTTTCCATATGAAATTAGTAATTAGTTTTTCCATGTCCTTAAAAAATTTTGTTGAAATCTGGATTGGGATTGCATTAAATGTTTAGATTGCTTTCGGTAGTATTGACATTTC